GGGCTAGCTCTTCCCTAACACAGTATTTGTCTTTTTATCCTCTTCTAACTAAAATCTAAGATAGTTACTCCTATGTTTTAAAAAGCCTGTGTTCTGTTTTTCCTGAAATATTCTGCTGCACTTGAAAAAATACTTTTACCCATTTGGGCAGTTTGCAAGCTCTGTTGAAAGTAGCATGCTTATGACAGCCTTGCTTGTGCATGCAGAAATAGTTTCATGAGTATGCGAGAGCTAAAGAAAACAAAAGTGATAAGGATGGAATTTTAACACCACTGCTTGAACTGGGGGAAGGGGATTTCCAAACTATATTTGTAACTGGGTTTGCAAAAACGAACATTGTTATTTTGTACAAACAATGCTGGATTGTTGTTTTTCAACCTTGCTTGCCGATGGAGTGTTTTGTCTTCCCACCCAAGAGCAAGTAAGAGAAACAAACCAGAAAACCCAGTTGTGATTCCTCTTTCAAGGTTTTCAGGAGATAGTACATTTACTCACTTCTTTTTAGAGAATGCCTTACACACCGAGTGTAGATGCATAAATAAACATTCTGGCTACATGCACATTTCTTCCCTCACCTGCTCTTTACATTAGCTTTATCACTTAAAAAAAATCCAGAGTAAAAATATACTGTAAGGTTCTGAGTTATATATCGTGATGTTCACTGGTGGTGGCCCTAAGGTAAACCTATCATAGGGTTTTCTGGGGTTGAGAGTGTGTGGCTTGGCGAAGGTCACTCAGTGGGTTTCCATGGCTGAGCGGGGAATTGAATCATGGTCTCCAGAGTCATAGTCTAATACTCAAACCACTACACCATGCTGGCTTTCTTTCTAGTACCAAGTTTATTTGTGTAATTACCTCCACCCAAAATGAGACAACTAAGGCATTTCCAGAACATATGGGCTGGAAAATCATTAGCAGTATTACACTGCCAGCAATTACCTGATTTCGATAAGCCTTTATTAAAAAGGCTTGTGGTGACTGACCAATATAATCAAAATGACAGCTTCTTTTGTATAAAACAGAGTTGAAGATTTAAGCCATACTTGTACATTAGCTTCATCTTCTATTTCATGTCCCTTACAAGTTCCTTCTTAGGACTATATCACATATGGAAAATCCCATACAAAAATGGGATTTAAAAGGTGGAGAAAACCTGCAAAAGCGGGTAGATTTCCACACACATCGATGTTAAACTGTGCTTAACCCAAACAGAAAGTAGTCAAAAGCTGCTTCTTTTTACTTTCGGGATTTTCCCCATATGAAATGATATAGTGTGGCAAATCCATGTTGTCAAGTCAACATTTGCCAGTGTCACAAAGGCAGAGGTGCGTGTGTGTGTGAGAGAGAGATAGCTGAGGGAATGGGGAAGAATCATTATACAGAAGAGTATGTTGGATAAACAGAGAGCCCAGAAGATAAAGAAGTTAGATAAAGAGGAAGAAGAGCATACATGGGATAGAGCATGGGGTAGAGTGAAAAGGGTATTCAATCCCTTGTGCTGATTCTTGCCTGTAAATACCCTGAAGCTATTTCCCCCATAGCAAGCTTCCTCCCAATTGTGGAGCCCATCTGGGGAAAACAAGTTAGTAGGAAATTTATTTGGCAGGAGATGCAGAAGACAGGGGAGATTATGATCCTCTGCTTCTGCTGATTTACCCCCCAAACACTCTTTCACACTACAGTTGCATTACGATCAAAACATAATGTTAGGAATGCCACATTTTCTTCACAGACTATAGTTTCATCTGTGTTAACTTGAAATGTCTGCAATCCCTTATTCTGTCTCACATAACTTGATTATTCTTTTTCTTCATTTTGCTTTTTGAGTTCCCTTAGAACCAATCTTCTCTTCAAATTTAAAATGTGTAGTCTTAGTGTTGTGATAAGCTGGAAATGACTTGAAGGCACACAACAACAAAAACAAATTATCCTTACTAGATTCAGCATGGTGTAGTGGTTTGAGTATTGGAATAGAATACTAGGAGACAAGGGTTCAAAGTCTTGGTCAGATACAGAAACCCACTGGGTGACCTTGGGCAAGTCACACTCTCTCAGTCTCAAAGGAAAGCAAGAGCTGATGCTTCCTGAACAAATCTTTCCAAGATACCTTAGGGTCCACTATAGGGTCGGCATAAGTAAGAAATGGCTTTACCCACACAACAATAATAACAAAAAATTACCTTTACTCCCACTGAAGTACTAAACCTCTCCCTCTTTTCCTTGGATGAAACAAAATAAAAGTTTTGTCAACCAGATGACTTTTTAATAGCTTTATGTTGCTTGACAGATAAATATTAACAAAAACAATTGGTGCTTTAA